TCTCTCTCTCTCTCTCTCTCTCTCTCTCTCTCCTTCCCTCCCTCCCTCTCTCCCTCTGTTTTTCTCTCACACAAGCAACCCCCCCTCCCTCTATTTTCCACACCCCAAGACAACGCCATAAATTACACTGTTCTTTATTCCTCCGCATTCCTTCACGACAGTTCAAGTGTTTATCCTCCTCACCTCCTCACCCTCCCTGATCCCACACCTACTCGCTTTCTCATCTCATCTCCTCCTTCTTACCCACCCATCACTCCCTCCTCCTTGCCACCCCCCGACCCCCCACACAGCTCAAAGTCCCCTCTCTCAACACTCAGCTGTGACGTAAGCAAAGGTCTACAATCTGCTACAATTTATCACAGTAAGTACTAAGACTAAGATTTATTACACTAACGCTAAAATTTATTACACGTCTGCAGAGATTTGAGGCCGAAATCTGGTCCAGATTTGTCTGTTTGTGTGTGTGTCTGTATGTACGTTTAATTGTTTGTACGTTTCATTGTTTGTAGGTTTCACTGTTTGTAGGTTTAACTGTGTGTTTGATCATTTGCATATTTAATTGTTTTTATGTTTGTATATTTGTATTTTTCCTTGTTTGAAAGCTCAATCGTTTGTAAACAGAACTACATGGACACAATACGGGTCATCCAGTGCAGGAAAAAGACAGACAGACAGACAGACAGACAGACAGACAGACAGACAGACAGACAGACAGACAGACAGACAGACAGACAGACAGAAAAAGGCGCCAAAGACGTGCACGGCTTCTTTCCTCTCCTCTCTTGACCGTCTTTCGTGAGTAGATCTAGGTCAGCTGTTGTTGTTGCTGTTGTTGTTGCTGCTGTTTTCATTATTTTGTTTTTGTCGTTGTTGTGTTCTATATGTTTATTGCTTTTTTTCGGGGGTGGGGGTGGTTATTTTTGTTTGTTTTGTTTGCTTGATCTGTTCTTGTTTTGTTTTGTTTTTCTCCCGAGTTTGAGATCTTAAAATGTCGTATACCCACGGAGTTCTTCCGTTTACTTTCGGTAGAACAACCTGTAACTGTAACAGTCTGCCACCTGGGCTTGCGAGACACGACAATATCTTTGCTACTTTGCCGTCAGTTTTGTTCTCATCATTCTCAACTGTCGTGCAAGCTAACCGGGTTCGAATCCCCAAAGAAAAGTGTAGTATTGAGAATAGTAGATCTATGTAATCTTGAACCTAAGCGCTTTTCTTTTCTTTCATTTTAAAAATTTATTTATCATTTTTATCGTGTTTTCGTTTTATTTTTATTATTTTTAATTTTGTTTGTTTTGTTTTTATATTTGTTAGTTACTGTTGTTTTTATAGGGGGGGGGTGGTGTTTGGGGTTCTGTGGTTTTCTTTTTGTTTTGTTTTGCTTAATTATTTTTTTGGGGGGAGGGGTTGAAGTTTTGCTTGCCTCAAGTTCATTTGACGCATTCGCGGGCATAGTTCTATCGCAGCTGGGCGGTACATCACTACATAAATATAACAAACAGCATCTATAAAGCAAACAGGCTGTAAATCAAATTCCATTATGATATAATAAACAAAACATTTTGTTGTTTCAGGATGCTACTGGGGGTCACCTTTCTTTGCATCCGGCCCGGGTAAAATATTTCCGGCATTCTCTTCTGCTGTTGATTCTTTCTTTTTTTTTCTTGTTGGATTTTCCAAGGAAAAGAATGATATAACTGGTATTGTCCCTTTTTAAAAATCTTTGTCTTGAGAGAGTGTGTGAGAGGGGGAGGGAGTGGGGTATGAAAGAGAGAGGGAGAGAGAGAGGGAGAAAGAGAGAGGGAGAGAGAGGGAAAGAGGGAGTGTGTGTGTGTAAGTGTGTATATGTGTCTTCGTGTATGTGTATGTGTGTGTCTGTGTGTGTGAGAGATAGAGAGAGAGAGAAAGAGAGAGAGAGAGAGAGAGGGAGAGAGAGAGAGAGAAAGAAAGAGAGAGAGAGGGAGACAGAGAAAGAGAGAGAGAAA